CGAGCCCTAGCAAGGTCCTAATTCCCTCCCCCTTTGTTGTTGGCGGCATCTCTCCCTTGATTCGGACAGGGCGTTTGGAGGCACAATAACCCTTCTCTACCCCGCTGCTCCCGTAGATTTCATCGCCGCCATCGTCGTGATTGTTGTTGTAATTGTTGTTGTTGTTGTTGTTGTTGTGATCTTTGTTGTTGTTGATATTGCATTCGTTATTGTTGTTGTCGTCACCGTTGTAGATTTTGTTGTCATGTTCCACACCCTCCTAGCCCATTACACCCAGACCCTGGTCGCCATCACTGTCGTTGTTGTTGCCGCCATCATTGTTGTTGTTGTTATTGTTGTTGTTGTTGTTGTTGTTGTTGTTGTTGACAACCTTCCCACCCTTCACACCGATCTCGCCCATCACCAACCTCTCCTCCATCAGTGCCTCACCCATTACACCCATCCCCTGCTCGCCATCATTGTCACTGTTGTTGCCGCCGTCATTGTTGTTGTTGTTGTTGTTGTTGACAGCCTCCCCACCCTTCACACCGATCTCGCCCATCACCTGCCTCTCCTCCATCACTGCCCCCACCTCTGCCATGATTCCCGTGTTGTTGTTATTGTTGTCAGCCTCCTCGCCCTTATCACCGATCTCACCCATTACCAGGCTCTCCTCCACCACAGCCACCGCCTCTCCACCAACCCTCCCATCAAAGTTGTTGTTGTTAATGTTGTTGTTGTTGTTGATACCGTTGTTGTTGTTGTTAATGTAGTTGTCAGCCTCCTTCTCGCCAACCTTACCCTTTACCTGCCTCACATCCACGCTAACCACCGCCGCTGCCATGGACCCCTGCTCCTCGTCCCACACCCCATCTGCGTAAACAGCGCAAAGATTTGTGACGTGTTTAACCATATCCACCTCAGTTCGCCCATCATCTTGTCCATGCCAGCTGCCTACAACACTGACGGCGTCTTCTCCATCCTGCTCATCCTCACTGACGGCGTCTTCTCCATCCTCCTCCTCCTCTCCGCTTCCCCCATCCTTGTAGACTGCGGTAAGGTGTGTAAATTAGTTGACCAAATCGCCCTCATTTTGCTGGTCGACCTCTCGCTGGCAGACTTCATCATCCGTGTCAAAAATCATATCGCCGTCATCATGAATGTCAAAGTTGTCGACGTCTTCTGCAACCTGCTCTGCAACCTGCTCATCCTCCCCACTCCCCCCTTCCACGTAGACTACGCTAAGATGTGCAAAGCAGTTGACCACATCCACCTCATCGTGCCCATCATCTTCTTTGAGCCAGACGTCATCATCCATGTCTAAAGGCATATCCTTATCTTGTTCTGACAGGTGGCAACAACACTCATGCCGGCAGGCGAGTGGCAAGAATGTCCTCTTGGAATCCTTATCTAAGCCGTCTTCTAATTTTAGTAATAAAAAACAACAAAGGATAATCAAATCCTTACCACTACAGGAGGGCAATGTGAAGTAAAACAGATGAGGAGAAAGCAACAATGATGGATCACAATGATATGCCAGTTGTTGTGACCATATGCAGCATTAACAAACAGAAGGGCCTTCACACTTCTTTGGTTGGCAGGGCAATGGCTCAACAACGCAATTATAGCGACCATTTGGTACATAGTGTTCTGCCCACTCCAGAACCGACAATGGAACTAGTTAAATCACCAGTACTACTTCTGGAAGTCACAACGTGCATGCACCCAGCCATTGTTACAATGTAGTGATGTTTCCACTTGAACAATTTATTCCAGCGCTCCTGGCCCATTCATCCCAGCGGGGCGTGGTGCTCATGCAACCATGACGATTTGGAAGTACTTGGAGTTTAAGAATGATTTCCTATAATCAAGACTATAACTGTATACCAGTCATTGCTACGATGTAGTGATGTTTTTCACTTGAACAATTTATTCCAGCGCTCCTGGCCCATTCATCCCAGCGGGGCGTGGCGCTCATGCAACCATGACGATTTGGAAGTACTTGTGGCTTAAGAATGGATTCCTATAATCAAGACTATAACTGTATACGTGGGTTGCCGGGGACTACAGTACCCAACCACATACCTTGGGAAGTCTGGCGATAATTGAACCATGGGAAGAGATTAGTGGCATACTCTTCAAAATAATTATAAGACAGTTTATGGGTAATAACCGCACATTGTCCCTCTTGCCCTTATCCAACTGGGAATCCTGGCCTCAAGCTCCCTATTTCAGAGAGCAGTCCACCCACTAGCATGGCTCACGAGCGTCTACTGGGCCTTCCAACACTCCCCTCAACATGCAAGGGACAGCTCCAGGGCGAATCAAGCAAGTGGGATCTAAGCCACCAGTACTTGGCCCATACACCGGCCGTGGGGCCCTCCCCGCGACTCTTGGAGGCCGACGACGCACTCTGGGCCGTTGATGCGATTTATCATCGGCCCAAAGGCCGCGAAAGTTGCGGGGCGTTCACGACAACGCCCCGCGGCTGATGTATGGGCCAAGTACTGGTGGTTTAACGAATGACCCTCTTTGAATTATATGTTTACTTTACAGAGGAAGAAAGTTCCTAAAAGAATAACACCCCCCCTCCTCCTCCTCTCCTTCTACAAAATGGTACAAAGTCTGGAGACAACCAATATTTGGTAACACAGCGATAAAGGATAAGAAGGGTAACTGCGAACCAATGGCAAAGGGGGGAGGGGGGGGGAGAGGGAGAGAAGAAGAAGGGAAGGAAAACGAACACGCTATAGGGGAGGCAGCTGTAGTGGACCCTTCACGAGAAATCCGGACCATGCAAGAAAGTCCCCCACACTCCCCCTAGTACAGGGGAAACACCATCCACCAAGGACCCCTTCTTTCAGGCGTTTGGACCCCAACCCATGGATTGGGAATCACCCGGGGGTCTCCCAGAGGAGGAAATGAGGGATAGCATACCGGAGGCCTGAGGATCACAAGGTGAGGAGGACGTTGAAACTAAGTTAAGGGGCTTGGTGGATTGGCTAGTCAGCCAGCTCCAGACATTGTATACAGGCCAATCGGAATCATACTGGGACGGGCCCTATGTACAACTGTTTTCCTTACTGGACGAGAGCCCCAGTCTAAAACATGCCCTGGGGAAAGGCCTATCCCCGGACACGGAATGGCCACAAGTGCTGCACAGAGTCTGGAACATTGTACACCAAAAATTTCAGCCTCCGATAACGACAAAAACACCGGATCCATCTGAGGAACCAACAAAGACAAGTCAAACGGATAGGCCACCATCTAATCCGGACCACAAAGACAATCCCCTCCCACCCCTCCCCCCGGAGAACACATAACAGACCATGTGTATGGAACAAACACCACAGGGGGAAGATGAGGCTGTTAAGAAAATGGAGGAAACAGGGTCCAAACGATCCAAAATACGACACCTCATCGAGAAGGGGCTATACCACAAAAAACTCCCAGTCGGGAACAAAGTGTTGATACTCCCAATCAGAAGGAAGACTGGTAAATGGGAGTTTGGCCTATCACCCGCTGACGCAGAGGACTCATACCGAGTCATACGCCCCGTCTTACGGGGGGATGACATTGCTCGGGTGATACATGAAAAGGGAGGGACAACTACGGGTCCATGAGGTTACAGATTTTATCTCAAACCATTATGAACCAGGCGCAATGACCACCATCAGCGTGTCATCAGAAAATTTGAAGATGGCATACAAAGATATTTACGTGCGTTTCGAGGACAACAAGGAAGCAGGGCTACAATGGCGCTCACACAGCTCACTTCTAGACACCCAACAATTGAAGCACAGGAATGGTCTCCATTCCAACTCAGATAGTGGTAGGGGTAAGGGGACACATGAGTTATTATGGACTGGGTAGAAGTGGTGTACGGTAAAAACAAGAAGTGGAAACTCTCTCTCCAACAGACAGACTTGGACATTCGGTCAATTAATGTTAACGGCCTACCTTCCCGCAACCCGGATAAGAATAATGCATTATGTGATCTCATGAGGGGGGTGGGGGGAAGAACATGGCCAGACGTAATATGCATCCAAGAAACACACCTGATGGACATACCTGAACACCATAAGGCACATAAGCAAGTCTGGCCCTTTCAAGGATATCAAGTTTTTGCCCTTAGCCCGGGGAGTGTCGGGGTGGCCATATGGATTCCCTTCCGAATCACGCTTTAAAGTTTTCAGTTGGGAACGGGATAAGGAGGACGGACAGTGGGTCAAAGCGTTGGGTATGCTAGAGTTGGAAGCACTATGCATTGTATCTATCTATGCGCCCAACATCTCCCGTGAGAGAAGGACCTTCCTTGAAAAAATTGAAAAGATCACGCCCCCCAGACATTCCGGTCATCCTCGCAGGGGATTTCAATGCCACGCCGGACCGATGGCTAGACCAGTGGAGAACCTCCCTTACGACTATTCACAACATGGAGGAGGACGAGAGGATGCTGAATGAATTGTGTGCTCCTCTCTCGCTCTTTGATACCTTCAGGCGTAGCCACCCGACTGAGAGAGCCTGTTACATGCTTACGCAACAATAACCCTGATAGACTGTCCAAATCTAGAATCGATCTAATCCTGGCGTCGGAAGATTTGAGCGGGGGGCTTACCCTAACGGCAATACTGCCACCTAGCCTGCACCCGGGTCTGGACCACAGGATGTGTATAACTGTCTGGACCCTCCGGAAGCGTCCGGACCAGGGGGCCAGTTATTATAAGCTTAATATCTCCTTGCTTCGATTAAAATCCTTCCAGAAGTACCTACAACAGGTTTGGAATTTTTGGAAGGACCATCGCTCCCAACACGACTCTCAAATATCATGGTTCACTAACGGTCCCTTCTTTTTGGCGAAAAAATGTAACGAATATTCTAAACAGATAGCAGCCCAACGATACCAACAAGAAATCACAATCATGCAAAAACTTATGGAGGCCGAACAAAAATAAATTTTGCAAGGACAGGAATCGGTTGCTGTCGAAGTACAAACCCAAATACTAGACTTGAAAACTCAACTTTTGAAATATGCACAGTACCGATGGCAGGGAGCCCGGACAAGGGCAAGACTATCCAGACTCTCAACCGAAGAAGAGATGAACTCTCACTTTTTTGGCCTAGCCAAGCCACGATCTAAAAGGACAACGATTGAAGCACTCTACGAACCACAAGCCAGGGATTCATACCTAGCTGTGTCCACGGCTCGTTGCACCAAGATGACATACGACTTCTACAAAGACCTTTTCGCCTCGCACATAGACAACGCAGATGCGCAGTACCACGATCGTCAATTAGGTGAATTCTTGGAACCCGTAAACAAATCACTGACATCTCACCAGCGTGATTCCTTAGAGGCTCCAATTTCCAAGCAGGAAATTTGGACTGCCCTTCAGCAAATGAAGGAGGAGAAGGCACTTGGGATTGACGGCCTCCCTAAGGAATTTTAGGAAACCACATGGGAGTTTCTGAGTCAGGACATCATGAATTTTTATGAGGAAGTATGGCACACGGGCGAGATGGGTGAAAGGGTTGGGCAAGGAGTATTGACCCTCCTGTATAAGAAATGGGGATAAAATGGACATAAGAAACTACCGCCCCATCACACTTCTTACGGTTATATATAACATGTTGTCCAAAGCCTTGGCCAACAGAATGATCCCGGTAATAGAAAGCATCATTCACCCCTCTCAAACCGGCTTTATGGCAAACGGAAATATACAAGAGAATATTCTGCTAATCCACGATATGCTCCAGCTCACGAAACACTCCCGTCAGAATGCGAGACTGGTCTTTATTGATTTAAAAAAAGCCTAGGATCACGTGGACCGGATATTTTTGGATAAACGTCTGAAAAAAATGAATTTTGGGTCAGATTTCAGACGTTGGGTTCATATCCTGCACCAAAATGCAACTACCTGCATCTAGGTTAATGGATTCTTGGCACCACCTTTGCGCCTGGAACGCTCGGTCCGTCAGGGGGACTCAATCGCTCCCTTCCTTTTTTTGGTCATCTTGGAAGCACTTGTAGCCAACCTCCGAGCAAATGAAAATATTACCAGAATCCGCATCACACATATTCCGGAGGAGGCAATTCCAATATGCTCCCTCTTTGCAGACGATCTCACAATCTTGGCAGAAGCCACACATAATAATATGAAGGAGATTCGAGAAATAATGGAAAAGTTTGTCAAAGTCTCCGACACGGCAGTCAACTGGGGAAACAAAACTCAAGGATGGTGGATTCACTATCAAGGGGAACCCCCCCCTGAGACACCATGCATCAAATTGATGTCATTAGAAACTCCAGTTATAATTCTAAGGGTTTCCATGACTGCTGAGGGACGCCCGTCAAGTAATGACGAATGGATTAA